TCTCTCGCACTATCTTCGTAATAGAATCTGTTTTATGTGATAAACTGATAAAGAAAAGACATGTTAATAAACTTTCACATATTGACGTAATTTCACTGTTATCCAGCTTCAAATATTAAAAGATGAATAAAATATTGATATTTCGAATTAAAAAAAAAAAAAAAAAAAAAGCTTAAGAATACAATAAATTTAATATTCCGAAGAAAAATGTGTATAGGGAGAGGAAGTTATACAACGCGAGAAATTCGACGCCTACGCAATCGTTCGCGACACATCATCGTTGACACATATCCTCCTGAGTCACTGTGCTTCCCGGGTGAGATATAATCGAAGACACGCGCCGCATTGAAAAGATTACACTGGCGAAATACAACGCGCATCTTAATGGTCTGTGCAGCGGGTGCACACGTGATGCAACGCAGCTGCTTCTCCACGCCCACTATCCTTCCGTTCCTTTTCTTTTTGGGACAACTGACTCCTCGACATTTATGCCGCGGTAGCATAGGTATATGTACAGTTATAAATAAATTTTATATATATATTTTTTAAATTTTTCCGTAGATATTTTTTGTGCGTACTTGAAACTGTATGACATTTGCAATTCGTGACTACTCGAGTTTTAAATAGGTTTTTGGTAGAGAATATAAATTTTTTTCGCTTTCCTACACACACATACATAGGAAGTGATGATAAAGTGAAACATTAATTGGATTTTCGTATAAATTTTACAAGTGCGCTGTACTCGTTACGTGAATTTTACATACACATGTTAAAATATTACAAAACCGAATGGAGTACGCGCGATGTTGAATCTACCTCAGTACATAAAATACAATACATAACGCGGCGGAACACAAGAACAGTCGCGTGGTATTCTTGCGGGATGTGCATACGTGCACCCGCTGTTGCTGCTGTTGCTCCAGGTTCAGTGACATCACGCACGCATATGCGTGACGCACTGCGCGCACCGTTATACCCATAGCCTGCCCCATAGCGCCCACTGCGGAAGTATCGCCATATTACCGGGGGTACGACATATACGCGCGACGATCGGCGTTTATGCCGATGCACCAAGTCTATCTAACGTATCCGCGATTATGCTCGCTGTTAACTCGCGAATATTCGCGATCGCGTGTACACATCAAATCATTGTTTTTTTTTTTTGTAGCAATTTATAAAAAATATAAATTGTACGTGTGACTTCAATGCATTTAAAATCACGTTTATTATGATTTTTTTTTTATTTTTTATTTCCGTTTCAACGACATAGGCAACACTTTCGAATTACAAGTAAAAGAAGTAAAGATTGTGGAAAGATTTTGTACATAAAACTCACATCTCAGATATGCATCAATGCGTGCGAGATTTCAATTGTGATCATTTCAGTTACGAGGTTTTTAACCTAGTCGAAAACAAAGAATCTTCATAAAGACAACGCAATAGTAGCGAAGTCGGCGACCGATCGCTCAGTGCCAAGGACACGGACGGTAGACAATGCAGCCTTGATGGCCCCGGAGGAAACAACAACCTCTAATTACGCTTCGGCTTGCTACATTTTTATCTGCGCGCCTCCTCTGCATGCATCGTTGCGCGTCACCTATTCCATTATTAGCGAAGCGGTCGTGAGCCGACTTGATACAACGCAAATATCGATTTCATTTACATGTTTGCTAACATACGTTTATCTCAAGTACACACGGAACGAGGAAAGTCACACACAGTTTATACGCGACAAAGTTCAAGTCGCAACAAAACTACACTATGACTTGTAGATTTCATGCAATTAAACAATGTGTATCCTCTCCTAAAATGTTTATGTATCATTACACACACACACACATACAGACATACGCCACGCAAATAATTTGCATATATTTAAAATATTTATATGTATTTCAACAAAACGCACATGTATGTAAATATTATTTCAACAACTTATCGAATTTTTTTAAATTAAAAATAAGCAAATTTGTGACACATATTTCATCTGTTTAACGTCTCTAATTAAAAGGATAATTATCTGATATTCAAAGCTCAATGGCGCGCACAATAGCTTTGCGGTACGATCGATTAAAAATAGATGTGAGGGTCATGGTGTGTTCATTGCATGTAAATGTACGTAGCTGCAGGTCGCTAACCGATTTCAAGGAAATGCTATCTGACCTCCCGTCGTCACGGCCAGTTCGAGGTCTGTTCGGATTTGCCGCTAAGTAACAGCGTAAGAAACACGTTTCGCGACTTATTGTATTACACTTATATATTTATTTCACAAAGTAACTTTCTCACTGTGGGAAAAATAATTTTCACACTCGGTATATTTTTCGAGAAAGCATGTCAACCGTTTGAAGAAGAAAAAAAAACTAGTTCGAAGAAAGTGAAATTTTGAGTCTAGATATATTTTAACAATAGAAAAAAGAATAGAATTTTGCATAGTACCCTTTTTTTTCTATGTTTCGAAGAAAAGTATCCTTTTTGACCTAACGGGTTATCTCGACAAATACACTTATTTTCGCGAAAAAGGCAAGAAGTTTGTCTGCATAAATTTATTGTGTCAAAAATCTAAACGCTTTTAACTCTAATACGGGCACGGACAAGAAAGCTACAGTGTCTATAACGGTTTTCCAATGGAGATACTGAAATAGCGCAATTAAAAACAGTTTTGTCTCTCTCTCTCTCTCTCTCTCTCTCGTAGACGCAATGATAATTTATTATTACTTAGGTCATTTTACACAATAGTGCTGTTACCAAATACCAAGTTTCTAGTTTATTTTCTGCGTATTTTTCTATTTGCAGTTTTTATTATCAAATTTGTTGTCTATTACAGCGTGACGATATTTACGCGAAACTTTTTCATTTTTGTCGAGTACGGCGAGATTTGATAGCTGTTAGATTTAATATTCGATTTGATTTATCAGCGGTAATTCGAATATAGCGAAAAAATTAATAAACAGCAGTTTGAATGATGAGAACATTGAATGTACGATTTATAATGCCAGAAGGCTGACATTAACTTGATCTGTTGTATCAGCCGATTCAGCGCATACGGTGAATCGTCATCACATTTTTTCGCTTAAACGTGTACAATTAGTCTATCGCTCATAAATATCAAAGAATCGTCTCAATGACAAATTTTAAAATTAAATTAAGCTTTGCAATTAATTAATATTATTAGCAATTGTGCTACGTACATATACGACTTGGATTGGTTAACAAACTTTCGCACGAGAAATAATATAATTTACAAACAAATTAAAATGCGCGTATTGCAAAAAAGATGATTTTAAATATGATAAAAAAGAAAAAAAGATAGAACGAAGAAAGAAAGGAATAAAAAAACAACACTTACGATGAAGAAACAAGCAAGAAGAAAAGAGAAAGAAGAAAAAAAAGAAAAGAGAAAATGACAAGAGGAAAGACAAGGAGATAGCGAGCAAGCTATCATAAGAGAGCAAGATAGAGAGAGAGAATAAAAGAAAGAGAGAAAGAGAGGAAAGAGAGAGAGAGAGAGAGAGAAAGACAGAGAGAGAGAAATAACGCGACAATCACTACACTCGTGGTTAGCTCAAGCGAGAGGGCGCATGGCCTTGGCCGCTGCTGCGGGGTAATTCAGTCAAGGTTTCGGCCGATGAACTTCCTCCAACTGGAGGAAGGAGACGCCGCCGGCCGGTCGCGGTAGACGTGGTGGGGAAGACACCAATCGCGCGAGTGCAGGGCCCGCGGAGCCGACGACGGATTGGTCGGGCCCGTCATGACTGCCGCGACTCAGCCCGGGCCTTAGCGACTTGTCAGTGACCTCCAGCATTGAAAATACGATGAACTCTCGGGGGGCCCTGTAAGAGAGCATACGAAGCAATGTGTTGTGTATCCTCTACTACATACTAGGTAGCCAGGGCGTAGACATTGTAGCCTGATAGCTTGGCAGGCGAGCAGGCACATCAATCCCTCCCCTCCACATTCGAGTTACTCAGACTGCCGAGTAAGGGCTGCACCGGCCCCCAGGTAACCAACACTCGGCAGCGCCGAACTCGAGTCAGACCAACGCGAACCTCCCTCGAGCGAAGACTTACTTTCACTCTCTCTTTAGGCTACTATACGCTCGCGCTGGGCTACCATTCCGTCGCTCCGTCGGGCTTACTGTGAAGCTTTACGGTACGATATAACACTTGGTTGTAGCTTTTGCGCGGCTCTAGATAATTTGAGTGTTTATTCGAAAGAATCCTCGAATGGGAGTTTACACGTGCGAAAAATCGATATTTATCAGTGAACAAAATAATCAGTGAGCGTGTTGACAGTGAGATGACAGTCAGTGGACCAATGTCGCTAATATGGACTTAATCATTCTCGTAGTGCAGTGCCGTGAGCAAGTCAATGCAACGTTCATTTGAGAAAAAGAGAGTGCTAACAGTAGTGAAGACTCTGTTCAATAAAAATCATGATTCTTCTTCCGGACAGTAGCGCGCAGGACACGCTGGCCACATTACCCACATCTGAATCTCTTGTCCCCAGCGTGTCCTCGCACTCCGATACTCAACGTGTATCCAGCGTGCCACACGCGTCCACTCAGACCATATCTAGTCCGTATCACGTGGTGCAATTAACAGTCGGTCACCGTCTTGGTTCCAGCATGCCGACGATGGATTCGACCGTCTCGTCCGCTAAATCCGAACCCGAACTCAAAATAGGTACGCCAAGATTAATTCCGGGCAGTTCTTTCTGAGCAAGAGTCTCGTTAAAAATAATGTAATTTAAAGATAGGCGCGCGTGTGCGAGCGCAAAAGCGGACGGAATCGCGGCCCGTGGCGGCAAGTGAAAGCAGAAAGTTGTAATACGCCGATGCTGTAACTCGCGCCGCACGCGCGAGAGAGGAGAAAGTGTTCTTCTTTCTCTCCCACCCCTTTCTCCCGGACAGCACTCCACAGAGCACGTGGAGAGGAAGCCGCGAGAAAGGACAATTGTTTACAATCTATATTAAACAGAATACGTTTTCTCGTTTGTTTCAGAATTTGACGGGACTACCGTGCTGTGTCGCGTCTGCGGCGACAAGGCGTCGGGTTTTCATTATGGCGTTCACTCCTGCGAAGGATGCAAAGTAAGTACACTGAGACATTATATCTATCACTTGCAATAGCGCAATCGGGTTTTGTTAGTTCGAAATTTATACATATATGTGACAATTCTTGTTATATCAGATAAAATTTCATAATCTCTTATGAGCAGTCGAAAGTGCTATGTAATTTTGTGCCAAACGATTTTGATATGTTTGTCCGCTCTTAAAAGACCTCGCTTTATTGTTAACGTTAACTGATTTATAGCCGAAAGATGTGTGACTATTGAAATTTTAATTAAATATAATTTTATTTTAAAATGATAATAAATAATTATAAAATTATGAGAAAACAACATGTGTAATTAACTGCTCATTTTAAGATAATATTCAATTTAAAACAAGTATCGAAATCGCGACGCGGCGTGGCCAAAGAGTGAATGTGCGTGAATGTGCGTGAGATGAGACCAAGGCTACATAAGAATCATCGACCATAGAGTTAACCTTGGTTATACGGAAATCATAAAATTTCAGATGATCCTTGAAATTATTTCACGAGCCGGTAGTTCCCTCACATCGGTAAAGAATCTCGCGTAGATTTTTTTCGAGGCAATATTTAAGTATTGTCACGGTCGTCGTAATCTTCTGTCAGGTGTTAAGTTTTTATACATATACGCACAACAACGATCGATGTATGAATTATAATTATTCCCTTCAACTTTCCTTGTTACGATTGATCTGACTTGCGCCATTTTTGGATAAATCATGGTCGCCATGATGTCCGACAGAACGAAAGAAGCGTCTAAAGCGAAAGAACATAAGCATTGCCAAACTTATAAATGGGAAAACGCTTTTTATCGCCGTAATAGTTTTGTTTACAAACAAAAAGTTTGAAACAAATTCAGAAGATAATTTCTTCAATGGTTCACACAAAAATTGTCCAATTAAAAAATTTGTTAAATGCCTTCAGCCCCGTCTCTTTTTTTCGTTTTTACTCTTTTTTAGTTTTCATACATTTTTTCTTTTGTTTATCTATTTGAAATTTTTGAAACTCAATTTTTGTTTTGCGTTTTAAATTGTCTAATATGTCACGAATGTGTTCAAAAAGAGATATTCAATTGAATATTACTTTGTTATAAAAAAAAAAACAATTTTTCAAAGTTGACATTACAAAATAAAATTAATATCTTTGTTTTGTTTCAATTGGACGTGTTAACTTGAGTGGAGGAAAATAGAGTAGGGTCAGCACTGGTTATTCGTGCGTTTTAGGAAGCGAAGAAACGGCGCCACTACCCACTGCCGGCTTTGCCACCTCCACAGGCACTCGGTACGATGGAGGTGGTTCCACTACCAGGTGCTATCCGTCGGTTACCTCTTCGTGCTCGCAGATCGACTTCGACCAGTCGCACGGCAACTTCCATACTATTATCTGCTTCATGCTCTTTTGTTTCGCGCTACTTTACAACTTTTTATAAGAGACATGTGTGCATATAAATTTTTTATTCAAATGTGATCATCATGGATTATATCGTTTGTTGAAATCTCTCTTGTACGTTTGTTGAAAAAACTCTTACGCGATCACAAAATACATGTAACTTGAAAAAACAAAAAAAAGAAAACGTATTTTCGGTATTCAATCTATCTTTTGCTCATTGCATAATCAATTAAATTGGAAAAGACTTCTTCAAAATCTCTTTTCTTTAGTTTTGTAATGTCTTCGCATAATAAACGGATCATCGATTGTCAAGAGTAAAAACGAAAAGATATATAGTTTTGAAATTGCAATGTGGGTACAATTCGTTCTGGTGGTTTTACCCGTCGATTGTAGGGTAATTGAGCGGGGACTACTGCAAACATCTCTCACCAAAGCAAATAAAAATGGAAAAAATGAAAGAAAAACTACTGTCTATAGAAAAATCAAAATGTTGATTTATTTAACGGCGAGAAAGAGCGAAAGTAATAAGCGAGAGAGGACCTTTTGATACCCCATGAAGCAGGTACTTCTGCTTTCGTTCCTTCTATTGTAGACGCGGGAAAAAGAACTAGATTGACCGCATTCCACATAAAAACACCTGGCCGAAGATTTTTCCGTCCCCTCTATCGTCCCTTCTTCTGTGTCCCACTCCGACGTTGAAACTCACTGGAAAGACTCGGTTGAGTAGAGTCGTGGCCCCTGGCTGGTTGACTAGGTCAGTAACTTATGTCCGCGGCGCCGTATGAAACGCTGCGCCGAACAAGTCTACACCGAGTGACCTAGCCGCTAGCGGTAGAGCGTCTTAAGGTACTGGAAAAGGAGCTAGTGGAAAGGGAAGAGAACGCGGAAGAGTGTTGGATATCTTTAAGACTAGGTCGCTCGGTCGCATCACTGTTGCACTATTTCGCGTTCTACCATCTCATCGGTACTATATAATACTTTTCTCCAAGCATTATAAATTGCTCCACCGCAAGTATTAATATCGCGAATGATAAAAATAGAAGATTACTTACGTAACATAAACAAAACAAATACGTTAATATTTAAACAAATATGTTTTTACTAAGTATTTTGTATAACTTATTTTTTTTTTATTGGTAATGTCATTTATATACGTATTTCTCAGTGATTATTTTAAAAGCAGAAAATATTGTTTATTGTAGAAATTATATGAAATTATATGAAATAATACAGTATTTTTGAATTACTTTTGATCAGGTAGAATTGAAATTTTTATTGCCGTTCGGGAATAAAATAGCACTTTATTATTTCTCTCGCGTTATTGTAACAGTCCACATAAATTGAACTTATTATTATTTAAATGTGAGTTATAAAAAGTGGTTGGTCAGTGCCGCATATATTTTTGTAATTTAAACGTTGACGTGTAAAAAATTAAAACTCGATGTTGTTGAATACACACAAATGACAATTTTTTCTCATGTTGTCATTGCAAAACAGTTTTTCATTAGAGAAGATTTCTTTGTGATACAAAATAGTAGTAAGTTTCGAAAGTTTCACAAATTAGAACTTATAATACTGAAATATTTTCATGCAGCCAACCTCTCTTCCTTCCCCGCCCGATATAATTAAGATATAAGAAATTAGTGTTTGCAAAAAAGATTTTCTTCGAAATGAGATTTCTCTTATTTAAAAGAGAAGAGAAATTCTCCTTTAAATTTCCGCGACGAAACAATCATTGGTGGAGGTGCACGTCGACGCTTTTTCCGGAGGGTTGAAATCAGGCGACCGGTGCATTAACCCTCCGGTCGTCGACCCTCCGAGCCAGTTACGTCACTCTCCCTCCCTCCCTCTTCTTCTCCTTCTCCTCCTCCTCCCTCATTCCGCTGCCCTTCCCGCACACCCCTTCCCATAGGGAAGTCTTCTCCCACTCTCTCCTCTTCTCTCGGGTAACCGTCATTTTTGACGTCGTAACGAGTCGCGATCTCATTTTCATTTGATTGCGCGAGTATTTCGGTGCTCGCTTGAGGTTACTGACCCCGGTACATCTACTTTAGAATCGGGTCAGCCGCTTATTATCGTGGTAGGTGTTCGCCCGACGTGGTATCTGTCCACCGAAGCGGGAGCTCTTCGAGATAACGCTTCCCCACTGAACAAAATCGGACCGCCACAATTTTTACACCCGATAAATTTGTCCCGCAAAACACGATATTATCAGCAAAAAAATCTAATAGTAGATTACTCCTACTGCACCAACGTTAAACGTCATCAACGTTTTTGTTCGTGTATAAAAAAAACCAATCTTTGAAGAGATTTTGAATTGACTAAAGTGCATCTCACTGCGATCTGACAACAATCTAGTAATGACAGAAAAATTTGAAAAAAAATTCACAGATAAAATTTGATACTTTTTTTGTATGTATGGAAATCGTTCATCTTTATGAAACATAGAAATTTGACTTATAGATGCAAAGTGCTTATTAGCGAGTTTACGAAACTAAAGTGTGTTGTAAAGCAGGTTTCAATACAATTTAGTAAACATTTCATATATGCAAAGTTGTTCTAAATCGAGATTTAATCTTTATGAGGATTATTGCTACTAATCGCTCGATAACAAGTAGCGGGAAAACTAAATACCGTGCGATATAAATTTGCACGGTACACATGAACACTCATCTCTGACCTCCGCGATCGAGTTTACCGATGCCGATGCCCGCAATGCCCGGGCAACAGAACAAAACGGCAAATTCTTGGGGTCGTAGGAGAGTGCTACAACGAGCAAGCGAACGAGCGAGCGGTTAATGCCCCCAAGCTGAGCGGAGAGTGTCGCGTCTGTACAACGCGCATGCGCTTGCGCGCGCATTACGTACGTCACCGTTACTCCGTTTCGCGGCCTCTTCTCTCCCTTCTTCGACTGCCTCCTACTTTTACTATAGCACCTCCCGCTCCCACTCTCTATGTGCCAGCAGAGATACGCTCACCTTCCCCTACCGTCCCTCGAAGTCAGATCACCATCACACCTCTCCACCCCTTCATCCGTTGCAGCAGTCGCGCGCGCTCCGGTCGTTGGCCTCGCGACCACATCGTGTGTATGTCCCACACTCTCCTTACCTATATATGTGCGCATATGCAAGCATGTATGTACGCGCAATACAATCCCGTACCTTCACGATCGACGTCTTTTCTCTGTTAGCTACTACTGTCACTGCACTTTCATGGAAAATAACAATGGAATCATCGATTGATCAATGACAGTCCTGCCAAATCACGATGATAAGTTCTCCTTCAATTGAAATCGAAAATTCACGGTGTCACTTTTTACTTACCGCGTATTATATTACACAGACATATACATGCACACTTTCTGTACACACACACATGGTATTTAAAAAATTAAAAAAAAAAATCATTTGCATAATTTTTTTCATCAAGCGTAAAATAATGTAGACAATAATTCCACTTGATACAAACCCGAGGAAATAAGTTTTCTCGTCGCGGAATCGAGAACGAAGAATAACACAGAACTTTCTCAACTTGGCGAAAGTTTCAGCGGATGCGAGCAAATAAAGTGCGAGTGCACAGTTTTGTTTGGTTCGTCTATCGGAACGGGTTCTTGGTGCTATTGTTGATTTTACATATAATTGTTGTGAAACTGTGAAGCCAAAGGCTTAAAAAAATTCAAATACTTGGAAACAAAGTTGATGTAGCGCAAAGATGTCAAATTGAATGAGATGTCTGTACAATATCGATGATAATTAGAGACATAATTCTCAATTCTCTGATTTGTCTCACAAATTTAAAACCAAGACGCGTGCGCAAAAGGAATAGTTGCAACTCGAGGTAGCGCGCGCGAAGGTGGTCGCCCTCTGACCTGTCACGGGCTATGCACGGTTCGAGAGATCGATGTACCGCATTTCCCCACACACCTCCTCCTTCACCCTTCGCTCGTCGGATTCGTGCCGACCGAGAGGTTCAACAGGGGTTGCTGGCCTCGTCCGGGCATCCATAACGGTAGCTCATGTGGTCCAATTCGTAATTTCAGTTTTTTCCAAAAAAAAAAAAGTAATTTTCACAAATCAAAAATTTTCCCAAACACATTATGTGACAATTTTACAATTTTCTGATTAAATGATGATAAATATAATCACAGATATTTTTTTTCTTACAAAAAAAGTTAGCAAAACAACAATAAGTGAAAACATGAACAACGTTTTCTTACATCTTAAAGGTAAATCTAACAATTATTTAAAATTATGATATTTTGTTTGTGGAAGTTTGACGCGCTATTTATTTGAAACAAAAATCCAGAAGCATTTAAAAAAGATCGAAAACGATTGTTCACTGACTCCACCGATTGGAATGATAGAAAGCAGCGGGGCTGAACATAGGCAATGTTGACAGTTCATTGACTTGCATTAAACGCTCGCGCCGATTGACAGCTCGGGCGCGGAGGTGCAACGGTACATCGTTCTCTCGACGGACTCTGCACGAAGTTGAGGTAGGCGAGGTCGCGCGTCTGACGTCACGGTGAAGTTACTCGGTGTCGAGCATCGCCAACTTTTCGTACGCGTACGTGCATACATGCACATTCGCGACCGTCGACACAACGACGACGCGACGACGATCACGGTAAAACACACAGAAGCTTCTCGAAGGGTCCCCCACGCATCGCGCGCGTTACGTAATCGCGTCTCGTGAGGTCGTTGACCGATACACGACAGGAAGTACCTTTCGCACTAACCTACCCCTTTCTCCGGTTTTGCTCATTCTCAGTTCTCACATACGTTCTCTTTGTTGATGTTTCTAATAACAACTAACAAGATAAAACAAAAAACAAAGTGTATAATTAAAAATAAAGAATATCTATATTCACGTGCTTATTTGCGATTGGATGAGTATTAGAGGGGTATCAGCGCGAGGGTAGGAACTAGGAGAGATGGAGGTAGGGCAGGTCGTTCGGAGAGGGTGGATTCTCCGGGCAGCAGGTGGGGAGAAGGGAGGGAAGAAACCCGTTAGTAGAGCGCTCGCAAGCCTCTATGGTAGCGCGCTCGCGGTAGATACGACGAGGACATCATCTAGGGTTTGCTCTAGCACGAGAAAGAGCGAGAGATTGGGAATGGAAGAAAGAGAAAGAGAGAGAGAGAGAGAGAGCGAGCGAGCGAGCGAGAGAGAGAACCTAAAGAGGGAGACGGCCGAAGAGCGGCAGTGCGCGCAAGGGGGACTCTCACTTTCACGCGGTGAACTGCGGGTGAACGTCCGGGAATTGGGTCACAGTGTTCCCCACCTCGCCGCGCCAGAGGCAATGTGCCGAGGCTCTATGTTCTCTGTACTAGAAAGAGCCAGTCCACAGCCAAGCTCCGATACAAACGGTTGCTTCTTTCTCCTCCGAAACGCGCGTAGTACTTGGTACACGCGCTCCTACGCGATTCGAGTACCTGAGACAAGACTCTACGTGAGCTTGTGAACCGCCGCGGGTTTACGTGAAAACAGTGACTGAAAACGCCGCCGACAGAAACGATCTTTCGTTATCTCTAGAAGAGGATATAATTCTCTTTTAGGTAGCGTCATCAATTTCGAATAAAAAAAACAGGATACGTACCGAGTGATAGCCAAATAATTGTTTTAACGGCGCGCATTTACGCGCCACAATTTGGTTTATTTAAATCGCCGTGCGATTCTTATCTCAAACGGAGTGGATTAATGGGGTGCTTGTGCGAATGTGACTTGGCCGCCCCGCGTTCGGGGACCGATTGCGCATCGGGGTCTTCGTCGGACAGCGACGGTCAGATTGACGAGGGTTTTGTTGGTGATTCGCAGGGCTTCTTTCGCCGGAGCATCCAGCAGAAGATTCAATACCGGCCGTGCACCAAGAATCAACAGTGCAGCATTCTCCGGATCAACAGGAATCGCTGTCAATACTGTCGTCTCAAAAAGTGCATTGCTGTCGGCATGAGTCGTGATGGTGAGTATTTTCAATATTTTATATACACGCATGAAGATAAATTTTTATTTTATCGTCCTTATCGCAATTGAGATCTGTAGCAATCAATTGTTATCACACAAGAAAAATTTTCATAATTTCCATGTTTAAAACTTACTCGCGAAAATCGCGCGATTCTCTGTTCCATTTATGTAATCGAAGAAATTGTAAAACGCAACGAAAAACACATTTCACTCTTAAAATAGCGTATAATTCTATAAATACATTTGTAAAATAATCAAACTGTTTTTTATCTAACTTGTCGTCTCTCACATACATCAATTTTGATAAAGCAACGTATCTTTGTTCTTTTTTTTGCCACGAAACATGCTTGTCCTAAAAAAAGTTTCTAAAAATTTAGTTTGTCGGGTCATTGACCGTTTGCGTAACGTCGTACTCCGCGACACAGTGAAGTGTTGCAACGGGCGAAAGTAGCCAGTTCGCCATTTGAGAAAGCAAACGGCGATTATCTTTCGATTGGAGCAATCAGATTTTGCTTTCTTTTCAAAGAATTAAATCCCGTCTCATTTTTCGTCTAGAAATTGTTAACGCAGTTACGTTTGATGCTTCACAGCATCCCTCGCCGCGGGATCATTGACCTAGGTCGTCGACACGTCGCGTGTACGCGCGCGCGCGCGAACGCCAGTGTATATATATAGCTCTTTGGACAAAATTAGAACGCGTTCTCCTTCAAATATAGATGAGAAATCACGATATTCATTACTTTTTGCAAATTTTAATTGCTTTATACATTTTTTTCAATACATTTTTTTCATAGTCGCAAGATCTTGTAATATTTCTTGTAGCCAAATATATAATTGCGAATTGATATATGATCAATGTGCGTGACACCAATATTATCTCTTCTTGAGAATTTAAAATGCGAAGAAATAGTTATGACTGATATCAAAACGTAATTCACGGGGTCAATAGACGGCCGTTGGCTCGTCTGGCGGACAACTTCGTGTTCGTAGAAAGAGTACCGCTACTCGCCGCTACGTCGTCCAGTGACCCTCCCACCTTCTTCCATCCTCCTTTTCAACATCGCGCTCCGCACTCCGTCGCTATCCTTCCTATTTCCCCACTCCAAGCAATCGTCATTGCTCGCTTTGGCTTCTTCGGTCACGGAACGCGCCGTGTCCCCACTAAACTCCACGACGGCGATGGCGCGCCGTCGCGTGGCGCTACTCTCCATGCGGAGACCTCGCGAACTTTGCTTCATAACTGCGTTCCCCTTCCTTCGAACACGTTCTTCTCCTCCACGTATTGCTCCCCACCTTTTACCTTATCGTGGATCCACCTGGACGGTAAGCGCATGCTCCCGTCACACACCGCCGTCTGACTAAAGCCGTACGTGACTAACTGGTCACAGCGCTTCGCACTTTGCCGCAGAAAACACGTCATGATGACCCGGTGCGTTTTCTCCACTTTCGCGTCGTGTTTCTACTATGAAAAAAGCATCCCCTTGCGATGTTTGCATCTATTGAAAATGAATTTGACTAACTAGATCGCGTCGAAGAGCAAGCATTTGCTGTGAAATTGACCAGCTTCGGAATTAGGCCGGTCAAAAAGTTAAAATTGTGTTGTCCGATGAATAATTCAATCTTTTGTGTGTGAAAAACTTTGTAACTTCTTTACGCGTTGTCTAATAATTTATTTTTATTTTATAATCACTCGCGTGATATAGTTTCACACACTTTGTTAATTATAATTAGATTAATAATAAATACGTCTCAATAATTGAGAAGATTTTAAGATAATAATACCTAAAAAAAAAACGATAGTTCTTTAGTTTATAGAGTTGGCACAATTTTAACATAAAAGATCGATAGTCCGCAAATAGATAGTTAGCTATCGACAGCTGGTGACAGAGCAGGTAGCCAACGAGGGGTTGCCCAAGGTCGTCGAGGGTAAGCTACCCCCAACAAAGGAAGTTCGCATCTGCGCATAGAAGAGAAATCAGACTGTCTTTGTCGCTCCTCACGCTAGGCGCTATATACTCGTCGTATATTTGCTTGCCATATAGTGTATATAGGTCGGCGGTACGCCTCGTGCGGCTGTCGCTGAAACCAAGTTCAAGGCCAAAGGCTCAGCAAAGGCCACAATCGCGCACGATGGAGGGGATCGTTGATGGCTGAATAAGTGGAGGGGCTGTTGAACGCAATCCGCGGGACATCACTCAGTCGGCGGTGATGCTGTCTCGTGTCTGCACGCGTACTACGGTCGCGCTCGTTCCTCAAAGTCAAAGCGACCCCTCATTCGCAGCACGCGCTATTCTGCCGTGCGATCGCTTGGAGTGACTCGCTACTTGTGAGTCAGCCAGGAAGATCAAGTTAATTAATTATTGTTCGAGAGAACGCGTACGTCAAAAGAGAGCTTTCGAGTGCCGGTAGTAATCACGGCAGGTGGTAATAGGACGGGGTAGTGTGATTACTTGTAGTGCAGATAGAAAAGTCACGTGCGTGAAAGTGCAATCGAATAAAAAATTGGATTGGAACAACAAAATCGTGGTGCGTTTCCCTGTACCGTCATGGGAGACGAATTGCCGATTCTCAAGGGAATCCTCAACGGAGTAGTCAATTATCACAATGCACGTAGGTGTCTCCTTCGGGCAACGATACCGATTCCTCTAATGTTTACGCTCCGCGATAGCGATCGAAACGCTTAACACATTCGTACTTTCTAACCGAAGATTCATAGCGTACGGAGAGTAGCAATGTTCGCGCGCGAGCGTGCACACGGCAGCACTTTCATCTCTTTCGTGCGAGAAAGTCGTGCGCGCTTTCCCCGCTGACTTTTTTCCACCTTTGATGCGAAACTATATCTGATGTGATAGTATACTCGAGCTTTCAATAATCGTCGGTTTTTGCCGCGATTGAGACATGTGTTTTCTTCGAAAATTGTTTGCTCTCCGAGCGCGAGAATCACGCGAGTTCCGACATTCGTTCGCGCGAAGGTCATCTCTTGTGATAGCGATTGAATCTGTTGCATGATTCACTCATTGATTGCATTAACTATTTATTGTCGTCCTTCCTTTTGCGCGTGACATACGAGCTTTGCGGCACGTCTAACCCTTGATCACCCGTTTCTGGTTACAGCGGTGCGATTCGGCCGCGTGCCCAAACGTGAGAAGGCCAGGATTCTGGCTGCCATGCAGCAAAGTTCCCACAGCCGTTCTCAAGAGAAGGCGGTAGCGGCCGAACTGGAGGATGAACAACGTCTACTGACGACCGTGGTGAAAGCCCATCTCGACACGTGCGACTTCACCAGGGAAAAAGTGGGCCCGATTCTCACGAGAGCCCGCGATTCTCCCAACTACACCGCATGTCCACCGACCTTGGTAAATAAGCTTCGACCTTTTCTCTTGACATTGGTGTTATTACGCAAGCCGTCCGCGTCGCATTAAGATTTGTACAGTCGACATCTACGCTGACGTCAATAGCTTCGCGGGCCTTGGGCCGTCTTAATCTTTCGAGCATTCTACGCGGAAATCACGCGAGAACCAGGCGACCTCGGCCGTCGCGAAAGAGGAAGCGAGATCTGACGAGAGCGCGTAAACGCCTCGCCTCGTTTCATCTTGCTTTGCGTCGCGAGGACGCCTGGTGTGTTCTTCCGAGTAACAACGGCGACGTGGGCGACCTTCGGCAAAGTTTAGCGATTCGTCGCGTCTTGACCTCGAATCTTCGTTCCTTCTGTTACAGACATGCCCTTTGAATCCTAATCCTGAACCGTTGAACGGGCAGCAAGAGCTGCTGCAAGATTTTTCCAAGAGATTTTCGCCGGCCATACGCGGTGTCGTGGAATTTGCAAAACGCATACCTGGATTTAGCCTGCTGGCTCAGGACGATCAGGTCACCCTGTTAAAAGCTGGCGTTTTCGAGGTGTTGCTCGTGCGACTAGCTTGCATGTTCGATGCTCAAACGAACAGCATGATCTGCTTAAACGGCCAGGTGCTCAAGCGGGAGTCCATCCACAATAGTAGTAATGCGCGATTCCTAATGGACTCGATGTTCGATTTCGCCGAACGAGTTAACTCCTTGCGATTATCCGACGCTGCGTTGGCATTGTTCTGCTCGGTAGTGGTGATCGCTGCCGACAGACCCGGGCTTCGCAATATCGAATTGGTCGAACGTATGCACAATAAACTCCGAAACGCTCTGCAAACAGTACTCGCGCAGAACCATCCTCAACATCCAGATATTCTTCGCGAATTGTTAAAGAAGATACCCGACCTAAGAACTCTGAATACTCTCCACTCAGAAAAACTTTTGGCGTACAAAATGACCGAGCAGCAACAACAGCTGCAAGCCCAACAGCAACATCAGCAACAGCAAACGCAACACGTTATCACCGTTCAACATCAGTCCCATTGGCCAATGGAAGAAGAACCTCCGGCTTCCTGGGGTTCCGCTTCGGATGTAACGTTAGACGAGGCGGTGAAAAGTCCACTTGGCAGCGTGTCGAGCACCGAGAGCACCTGTAGCGGCGAAGTTGCCTCCTTGACGGAATATCATCATGTGGCACCATCAAGTGGTCATCACGCGTCGAGCGCACCTCTCTTAGCCGCTACCTTAGCTGGTGGTTTGTGCCCGCACAGACGGCGAGCAAATTCTGGCAGTACTAGTTCCGGCGACGATGAGCTTCATCGGTCTACCATGTCGAAGACTCCTCAACCACCGCAATGTCCGCGATTCCGCAAATTAGACTCGCCGAGTGACAGTGGAATTGAGTCCGGCACTGAAAAGCCCGACAAACCGGCCAGTAGCAGCGCTAGCAGCGCGCCTACTTCCGTGTGTTCGAGTCCACGTTCAGAAGACAAGGAGGTTGAGGACATGCCGGTATTGAAGCGAGTACTTCAGGCGCCACCCTTGTACGACACTAACTCACTGATGGACGAGGCTTACAAACCTCACAAGAAATTCCGCGCTCTGCGGCAGAAAGATAGCGCTGAGGCTGAACCGGCTGTGGTGGTACAGCATACACAATCTCAGCTCCATCTGCATCTAACATCGCCACCGGCACGAAGTCCGCCCACTCAAACAGCACAATCCCAATGTCCGCAGACCGCAAGTTTGCTGAGCAGCACGCATTCCACCCTCGCGAGGAGTTTGATGGAGGGTCCGCGAATGACAGCAGAACAGTTAAAACGCACGGACATCATACACAACTACATAATGCGCGGTGAAGCTAGTCCCAGATCACCGACGGCGTCGCCGTCACCCGCAGAACAATGTGCATCTACTACTACAATGACAGCGCGCTCAACGCAAGGATCTCAAGGTCTCCTGCAGTGCGCGACCACAAGCTATTCAAACAGGTGGCCGGCCACCTCGGTGATTACAACGACAACGGGTGCGCGACAACAGCAGCAGCAGCAGCAGCAGCAGCAACAACAGCAACAACAACAACAACAACAGCAACAACAACAGTCTTCCTCGGACTATCTCACTGTTGGCAACTCTCCGGCTTCGTCGCCGAGATACCTCTCCGTGGCGGCGACCAGCAGTACAAGCACGAGTCCGAGACCGACTTCCAATACGGCGGCAACGCTCGTGTTATCCGGCTGTCCAAGCAATATGATGGAATTACAAGTCGACATAGCGGACAGTCAGCAGCCATTAAATCTCTCGAAAAAATCACCATCTCCGTCACCATCGCCCAGGCCGCTCGTAGGACCCTGCAAGGCTCTATCCCTCGAGGCGTAGTGTTCTGATGAGCTCGGGTGATCTGTCGTGACATGCGTTAGCGTGTGCGCATGCGCGCGCGCGCAAACTCGGTATGTTTGAACCACCTATCACCTACATAGACGAGCGCTCGTCGTCGCGGTACAATCCTCTCCGATTTTTAACTAGAAATGAAAGTGCCAGGACGCTTCGAGCGCGTGCAAAACCAAATAATTTATTAATTTAATCTACTTATTGATAAAATCTCGCGCGAGAAAAGAGGTGGAGTTTACGAGAACAGAACCGGCTAAATCTCCGCGAATATTTATAAGGAAAGACAGACGTTCAGTGGCGAGTTACTTTTTTTTTCTCTCGAATGTGCGAGAAACGACGATGAATGTACATCGAGGATGGACGCTTTTATTCACGATAGAGTGCCGATCCGCGATGGCAATAGTGCCGTGTAGGGGAGCCACCTATCCACCTAAAACTATCTACCTGTCTACCTACCTAAAGCTTATCTGCTCTAGGTGTACATCTAGAAGAGATAGATGCATCCACGACGGAAAAAAAAAGAAAGGTTGAGTGTTACAAAAAAGTTAATAATCTATCTACATGTGATAATCATGGAAATCGTGCATCCTGTACAGTCTCCACCTCATTCATCGATCATCTACTCTTACTATATAAATATATATATATATACATATATATATATATATAATTATTGAATATATTATAAAAGTAATTAATATTATTGTAATATGTGTAAGGTATCATAACCGTAAAAAATTATCATTTCGTGTATGTGTGTAGAAGACGCGTATGTTATTTCTTGTGTGTGAGCGATATTAAAGAACGAAAGTGAGAAAGAGAGCGCGAGCGAGTGACGAGTGAGCGTGCGCTTGTGCAAATGAGTCGGGGCAAATCGAAAAGCTTCTTGATCGCGGTGGCAATCGAGAACAATGAATAAAATTACGAGAAATAAAGTCGCGAAATGCGATTCTCAAGAATTTTAAGCGTTTTGTTATGAGACTGATCGGCCCGCCGCGGCCAGCAGTTTGCAATTACTGTACCTTTGTACTACGTATCGTGGGAGTCTCTTCGCTGAGGAGACAACTCAAGAAGTAATTATATCCTCTAATCGCGCCGTATAGCGAAATAGGTATCGTAGACCCGCTTAAACGCGTTATACAATATTATGTGTCGTGTGTGCATGCATGAAAGTTAGGCAGATAGATCGAGACGGGATTGCGTAAAAGAGAGCAAAAAAAAAAAAAAAGAAAAAAAAAAGGAAAATGAGTGAGGAAAGATACGACGAAGACAGAAAAAAAAAGTAAAAACGGTGTGAAGAACCGCGAAGTTTTCGAACGAAACGGAACTCCGACAGTATGGCAAAGCGCAGTGTAAATAGTAGATTCGTAAGGCTATGTCCTGATAGGCGCGAGTGAGAGTCTCTTCTGCTTCAGAATAAAAAAACAAAAAAAAAAAAAGAAAATTACGAGGAAAAAGTTAGTAGAAGATACGCGGCGGGCCACCGCCGACGTGTTGTTGAGACGCCCGCCCCGCCTCCCTAATACCATCGCATATCCCAATCTCTCTCAGCATGAATATCGCATTAAACACGCATTACACCCGTAACATGCAGAAAACTATGGAGCAAGTATATTGCGCGATCTTGAAAACAGTTGTAGAAATACTTACTCGCCTCCTTTTGAGACGAACTAGAGATTCTTTTACCTCTCGAACAAACGAAAATAAAAAATAAAATTTACTTTTTGCCAAGTCTAATTCGAGACTGGTATTTATTACTTGAGAATCTTATTACTGATGAAAACCGAATTGTGTGGATCGAGCTCGGTGTGTTGAGTAAAAGAAAAACTAGTTCTCATCGGAAACGGGGCATTAAAAGCACATTCAGTCTAACAGGCTAAAATATAGTTTAGCCAGAATATTCCTAAACACCCAGCTTAGAAGGCCTCTGTATTTATTGTACACAAAATGCATTTTCTCCGCCGTGTCGCGTGTATCACATCTACTCGTTTGTCCAAGCAAATCCTCGTAGAATCCTGGCTGTCCTTGTACGAAACACACGCATATACACACACACACACACATATATATATATATATACACACACACAAAGACAGATACATTTACACGATAATGTACATGCACACTGACGAAACATTTTGTCTTGTCTCCCTTTTCCCCACTCCTTCCCCTCTCCAGCAGACAACCTAGCATTGATATTCGTATAATACTTGTTATGCATAAACTACACATAATTATTATAGTAAACGATACATAAAGTATGATATATTTCCCTATCCATTAAGGAAAATACAAAAAAACAACTGTTGTTTCTGATGGAAGAAAAAAAACAAAACCTATGGATAAAATGTACTCTACTACATGCAAGACTACAAATGCAGCCCCGCATATTGCCCAGTGAGCACGTCATTTTGTACGCTTGGGAGTTGTGAGGTCGTCTGAATAAACATTGTCTGGTGAATTATACATAAAAAAAACCGTTTCGTCTTCTTATTTATTTCGCGAATCCACCTTTTCTTATCCTTTTAGTGACTGATCGACGATTTCCTTCTCACAATCTTTTATAAAGACGGTACGTATTTCTCGAAGAGGTAAGTATGTTTCTTTCGGCTTACAGATTGAAATAAAAAGTCTACAAGAGTGTCTCTAATTATTTGCTTTTATGTAATAACATACGATTGGAAGAAAAAGAAAACCAGTTTTCACAAGAGCATAATTACTACTTTAAAGATTAATTGTACAATGCGAATGCAGCTACGTAATCAGTTTCTTAATTATGTAATAGCTTTTCCAAGCTTTCCTGATCCTTTTCATTGATCCGCCAAATCCTACGACGGTGTAACGTAACAGGAACCGTAAACACCTACGAAGGCGCGTGGCACACCGTGGGCGTCGTTGCCACGCAACCTCGCTTACCGCTCTAACGTGAACTGTCCTATCGTGAACTCTGCACTTCGCCTCGACCTCAACGACGTCGAGTCGTAGCAACGCATTTCATCACTGCGCCACGCGAAGGCGTATTTTTACCAAAAAAACAAGACTATTATCCAATCTAAAAATACTGGATTGAGGAAAAGAAGAGATTAAAGTCATTCTACTCTCACTTTGATCGCAATAAGTACATGTAAATGTTAAAAGTATTCCAGTAAGGTTTACCTTCTTTAACTGTGTATGTGTGTGTGTGTATAAATAATATAAATTTTTACATATAAATATATAAATAGTAAATAGCAAATCAATTTTTATCTTATACTTTTTTCTGTATTTTTTTAAATACTTTAAAACAAATATTTATCTATCAGATACCATTTGTTTTTTTAAGATGAATTGTTGACACGTATTTTCTCGTGTATTACAAACAATACGCATTATACAACTAAAACGCATTATACTAAAACGTCATATAAATCTTCATTAATTCTCGGACGATGAGTCTTGAGCTATATTTCCACCCCCACAATTCCAGTCATCCAATATATCTTCGAGCTATAGATTCAAGGAAGAAATAAAAAAGTAAAAGCGAAGCGGAGATGAACAAAGAATGTTTACGAACAATAAACAGAACTTTTGCTGTCGAGCGCAAATACTCGTGTGTGAGCGCCATGTGTGTGAATTTATTATACATCCAATTAAACAAAATATTATACCTCACACACGCACACACACGTACAAGAGTATATATCTTCCTGTATTTTTCTTTTTTTTTTTTTTGCTTATGTAAAAAGTCTTAGGTTCCACCGCATCGTTTTTTGTTTCTGTTATGTTTCGCAATTAGTTTCGCGTTAAACAATCGATAAAAAAATAATATGTACTAGTAGAATATAACTCATTGCTCTACAAGCTGTGATATAAAGAGAGGGTACTATCACAAAGAAGAGGATGCTGATCTCGTCGGATGTGTCTGCGACCTCGGATGGACCTTGAACGCACTTCTTAGCCAAGACAGCGGACAAGGGCTTTTATGCGTGGAAGAGGGGGCGGAAGTGCGGAGGATGGATACGCGAATCGAAACGTGAGGGCGTCTTGGAGGTTAAAATCCAGTTTGAGAGTGTATTGCCGCTTGCTCAGGGACAGCGCGCGCATTCTCGAACACACCACCAAAGCCTCTCTTTCTTGAGATACGCGCCATATTGTTGAAAGAATTCCTTTGTGAATACAATGTTTGCCATCTGACTTTCCGATAATTGGAATTTTGATTTGTAAGTATATAAACCTGGTCCATCCAAGTCGCGAGCAATAACTCCCCGAAATATTTGTTCTATTACAATTGTCACATTTTTTTTTTTTATAATTCTTCAAGAAATTTCCCCGAATCATAATATGATAAAATTGATTAGTTTTTCTCTCGAAGTCGAATTTTCCGCAAAACAATGTAATTTCACTCGAAACGACTGAAGCGTACACATGCACATTACACGTTACTGTTGATCGTGACACAATTCTTTCATATAGCAGTGCTCCATTATAGTCTCTAATCGTTCTTCCGGGTTGATGAACTTTCGTCCTTCGACGACCTACTACTTTATCGACCTCCGCCTTTCGACAACCCTCACCCGCTCCTTTCTACGCGCTTGAGCTTTCCACGTGGCACAATCGTGAAAAAACCTTAACTTTACCCTCATTCGACGGGGGTTTTTTTTATCCCTCGCCGACTCGAAATTTACGAGCGATACGGCCTTCGACGATCTTTAAGCAGCACATGCGTAGCTACGTAGAACCCTCTTCGCAGATTATTCCACTGATTCTCCCACATATCTCAGTAAACTTCTCTAAGATGAAATTTAGTGGTAACTTTAGTGGCTATAAATTTCAGAACAAATATATTGCTTTCTCACAAATATAAGTCATCGGGAAGTATTCATTAAAAAATATTTGTTAATTACAAACATTTATTAATTAGGTACTATTTTTAAATAAAACACAGTGAAAAAATATTTCGCGATACATGTGTGGGTGTGTGCACATGTATCGCGTGCGAATCTCGGTTATATACTTTCGAACTCTTAGAACGACAATATGCCGAATTAATTGCAATATGCTGTATAAGCGCGCGCGTATTTAATGAATGCAGCGAATATGTTTTCACTTTTCCAGTGCTTTCACTCTCGCGAGTGAGCCACTTTTTCCGATATCGAATACGCGTTATCCCAACGTGGAACTCTTTGTTTTTGTATAAATCTACTAAAACAATGCAATTAGATCATGAGTACGATAACGAGATGCGAGTTGACAATATTCTCGAAGCACGCACAACAGTTTTTTCAATTATTTGTTTTTTCAAAATTATTATTACGCCAATTGTGACACATTGATAAGAGTTGGCGAAGTAGTAGATTTTATCAATTGTGTTTCTCCTCTTAACCCCCCCTCTTACGGTACTTAATCCCCGTTCCTCATCCGTTTCAAAACTCATCTCGATATTGTAGCTCTACGCGGTACGAGACGATTACTCACAGTCCCGTTAAAACCCGTTGATATCGTCTTTTGACCGACCCTGACTAGTCTGATTCGGAACGGCCCACTTACCTAGAACCATGTGTCTTTTTTTAATACGTCTTATGTTACATAGACAGCCACCCAATAGAATGTTGCGTTATATTAAAATGTCTCATAGATCTTCGAGGTTCGATGGCCTCTTCCAAGTCCCCTTGTGTTATTTCAAGCTCTATTTTTGTTCATTCAAATGATCAAACGCTAGAGAGAAGAATTATTATATCTTTTCTTTTGCGCGCAGTAAAACAAGATAAAGAGAGAATCGTTACAAATAACGCGATCAAAACAAAAATTTAATTTGTAATAAAATTGTTAATAATATCCAATGTTGTGAAAACTATAAATGACGACTCAAGTGTAAACCGAGGAAGAATCGTCGTTGTTACTGTTAGCTGCGGCTATCTTTTCGATTCGAGTCATATCTCACTTCAGGGTCGACGAACGCCGCGGGATTTCCTCTTCTCTTCTCCGCGGTGACGAGGCCGAGGTGACCATACGGTATTTCCTTTCGGTCGAACAAGAGCGCGGGAGTGAACGCGAGCGTGCGTTTATTGTTAGAGAGGAAGAAGTAGTTGTATGGTAAAAGAGGAAGAAGGAGGCACAGAGGAGGAGGAAAGAGTAGATGGAGGAGGAGGGTATAACTGTACCATCTTTCTCGGAGCCTGCCAACTCTTTTCAGAGTTCACGAACCTTGTCGACCGGACCGAATTCGAAGGTCATTGCTCCAATTCCGGATTCTCTATAGAGAATTTCCGCATCATCCTCTGCGAAATCCAAAAAAAAAAAAAAAAAAAAGCTGACTCCTCAATCGTTGTTAAGAAGTTCGCTGTCGATTCAGAGAGCGTACTTTGTACTCTTACTTCTTAATAACGAACTGTGCGCTGCGCAAAAATACATATGTAGACCTTTCATTTGATTTACACGGGTATTTTAGGTTTTATTTTTAATTGTATCAAATTACAATACAAACAATGAATATTAGAATTATTTTAAATTGATTTTAGACAAGAGATCAAAAAAATTACTTTTGTTTCGAGAGACCAAATGTCAATTAAGTCGACAACCTCTGTTAAATCTACTTAATGAAGAAAACTATTTTTGTACTTTTTTTTTGAAGTTTAGATTAACTCTGTGATCATTGTGTGTTAATGCGCGTGAAGAAAAAATTTAATTAATTGCAATAGCCATTAATTAACGCGGCCCTAAAAATCTTGTTTACTTAGCTCGCTCGAGTCAAGTATCGCAGTGTCGGCCAATATTCGACGTAAGCACAGTCCTTGATAGAAATAGTCATGATACGATAAAGAGAGCTAGCTGTAATTTGATCCAACGTTTTGTTGAAACGATAAGCCTCGTGTCGAGCGCTTCACGTTAAGCGACCCTGAAAGTTCAAGAACGTCAGGGTGAACGGCCGCTCTTTTAAGTGATTTCACCATTCTCGCTACGCCGTTGATCCCTTCGAGGTCAATCATTTGCGAAAAAAATCGAGAAGAAGATATGAACTATGAGCGCGAGAGGCAGAGGCCTATGCGGAGATAAGCTAGAATCGAGCGGATTGCATAAAACGAGAGTTGCGCGGTAAAGAGACTTATGTATATTTCACGCAAGATCTTCATTGAAAAGTAATTTTAGAAATAATTTGTTAAAATTATTTTCTATAAATATATATATATATTGTATAAATCTATAAATACATATATATCTTTATACAAGATATAAATGTCTTCAAGTATCTCTTCCGCGATATCTTGTTTCGATACATTAATGGAACGTAACAACATGTATCAATGGGGAAAAAGGCGACTTCGTTAGTATTAATGTTTAATCGATAGCTTTCGGAAACACGTCATCGGATTACGTCGTGCTTACGACGCGGAGGGAAGAACCAGCCCCGGTCGTTGACCGTGCTCCTTAACTGGTATATTTTCGTCATCTTCCCGAAACGCTCGCCAGTTTCGGGATCTTTCTTTACGTTTCGTCGGTC